GGGGGTTGAACAATGCTGCCTAGAATTAAAGGAAGGAGAAATTAAATGCTGGGAGATGCCCAACTGGGATATAATAACCAAGCGCCCTTGGGGGAAAAACAGCGTAAGAATAGAGCAGGTGTGTTAGTCCTGATTGGACTGGAAGTTGCCCAAGGTCCCGTCTTTCAAGTCAGCCTCACTTCCCCTTAGTGGGCCACTGGTTGGCTGGCTTGGGCTTTTCTTTACAGAGGCCTGGCTACTCCACCTTGGGGCCGCCAAGCCCTCACTCCCTGCTTCACATGGCCTTCCTGAGCAGACCCATTTCCTGCCATTTGTCCCTTGGACCGATCCCACCTTCAAAGGTTGCCTGAGCACAGACTTCCTGAGCATCTGGGCCCTTTGATCCCCTCAGATCCAGGAACAGAGGTCAGCAGAGGCTGGGCCTGGCCGTGGTGGCCACAGGAGGACCAGATAGCGTCAGGGGTGGCAGGCCATAAATCCCCAAGGAACAAAGGCAGTGGGCAGCCTGTGGAGGTCTAGGCCCCTTGTGGGCAATCAGCCCAGGGGGCTCTGAGAAGCTCCTTTTAGTTTGTAAATAAGGGGGTGATATGCCCTTGGGGTTATATGGTAAATAAAAATGCAATTAAAAGTCCCAAAGGCACTCAGAACTTCAGTGAAACAGCCCTATCTGGCCATTTAAGGCCAGTTTGCAGAGGCCTCCGTGCTCACTGGGAGGACTTCACCTTTTGCTCCCCTCCATCACCCTTGGGGTGTAGGCAGCCAGGCCAGGAGGCAGGGTCAAGCCCGCCCTCTTGCTCAGGAGCTTCTGGAAGGCTGGGCACTGGGTCCACGATCCATTCGTCTCCCTGCTCTGACCCCTGTGGTCCTCTGCCGGTTTGACTAGGCCCCACACGGCTTTAGCACTGTGGAGGAATGGGGAGGGGAGGGGGGATGGTGCTGTGCTGCCCAGGTCATCTCCGACAGAGACAGGAGGCCTTCTTGGCCCTGCTGTCCTACATCAGCTCTGTGGCCAGCACCCAAGCAGCCAGCCCAGGCGGCACAGACAACCCTGCAGGAAGGGAACAAAGTGGGTGCCTGGGGTCACGCAGAGCAGAACCCCCCACCTCATACCATCTGCAAGTGAGGAAAGAGATTTATCTCCTAGAAAGCCCGCTGGGCAGGGGCCGCACTCAGATAGGAAGAGACCAGCACGAAGCAGCCATGCAGGGAAGATGAGGGGCCTTTGTGAGAGAATAGTCCCTGACGCAGAATTTCTAGAGGTTTTTTTAAAAAAAATCTTTTCATAATCTTCTATCTCTATTCAGTTTTTCCTCTGTGTTCCATTAAAAATACATACAAATAAAAATATACCTGCTTTATTTACCCATTTTCTAAAAGGCAAAAAAGTCATAAAAAGACACAAGCAATCGAACAACATATTGCACTGGGGGAGAGCTTGTTCTTCGCACCAGCCCATCACTTGTCCGGCAAGGCTAACGAGTCATCACACAGACCTGGGCACTTATGTACATGTCTTTGCAGGAGTATTTTAAAAAGAAGGCTCAGTTTAAAATCAAGGAAAGGTTTTCATAACACCTGGGTCAGCACACACACTAAGGACACATGACCGGGTGCACGGCACCGTGTAAACAATTTCACAAATGCTCCTGCTGTCAGTTCTCAGCACGTGAAGCCCCGCAGTCAACCATCAGCAGGTGTGCATTAGATAATGAAGTGATGCTGATGGAAACACTCGTAACAGTAGAGGACGTTTTGGCAGTTTGTGTTCAGGTGACACGTAATCAACCCCTTAATGACCTGGCTTCAGAGGCAGGAAGCAGTCTTAGCATCTAATTCCCACACAGAGGCACAGACTACACCCTCAATGGGTCCCTGAGGGTGATATTACTTCATAAATTAAAAAAAAAGTTAAAGTGTTTTGTGTTTGAGTTCATAAAAAGTGCGATTAATATCCTGGAAAAGGGTGGTTTTACTATGAAACCCACTGGATTAAAGTGGCTTCGCTGTTCTGGGGGCCACTTCTCCATCAGAGAACAGGGGAAACCTGCTTCCTTTTAATTTCTACAGACTCGATGCAATTCTGAGTCAACTGCTTCACCAGTGGGAACTTCTCATTCACTCCTGGGCTTTTTTTCTGAACAATCTTTGGGATACATGACACAATGTGAGGTTTTGCAAAAAGCTGGGCAGACTCTTCCCCAAGTGTCCAATGACCCAAAAGTGCCAGAGACACTGGGGGAAGTCACTGCAGAGACTGGGAGCTGCACCTAGTGAGGGAGGCTCATGAAAAGACCGAGCCCAGTCCCTGCCCAGGTGTGGTGGGAGGCGTGAGCTCTCAGCACCCCGACAACACAGCTACCGTCCCCGCGAGGACCAGGGCTTATGTCTGGGACACGTCAACTGAAGGGCACGGACGGGCCCCAAATGCACTGACCAGAGCCTGGCTTGCAGAGGGGAGCCACCTGAAGAGTGACCACAACGGGCCTGTGCGCACATGCGGGCCTGGTCGGGAGAGGAGCCGAGGGTGGAGAAGCACACAGGGGGCCTGGGTGGCGTTGGTCTTAGGGGCTTGGTCACACGAACTAGGCCGCAGTCCCGAGCGGGCATTTCAACTTTGTTCACCCGAAGGCAGCGACATCAGATAGAAACACCTGCCTGAACTGAAGCTGCCGGTTTGCTTCACATCAGTTAACACGACATGTTTTCAAAGAAAATCGGGAGGCAGTCATTTCCACGTGGTATGTTTTAAAAACATCTAGTCTGACTAGATGATAACTGAGATAAAAGCAGCCCCCAAAGAGGGCAGATTTGATCTGCACAGGCACACGCTGGGGGCTCGAGGCTGGTGCCCTCAGCTCGCCTGCGTTGCGCGTGGCACAGCCTGGTGTGAGCCTCCGACACCCTGCGGGGCCCAGTGCGTCCAAGGACTTCCGGGAGCGCACAGGCGACCCCCCGACACCCACACAGGGGATTCAGTCTTTCTCAAGTTATATCACAGCAAAATCTCTTCTCCGACCTCAAAAGTCCATATTTATAATTTAAATGTAAAAATGTATTTCTTCCCAAACCCTTCCCACCCTCCAAAGTTTTCAGCCACCCCTTCAGAAAACTTTGTTTTTTTCTAAACAACAAAAGTTTATCTGGCCATTTCCTTGGAAACAAATGTGAAGCTGTCCCCTTCCTTCGCCATCTAACACAGGTCGCCGCCGCCGGCGGGGGGCAGTTACGTCTGCCTGTCGTCTCTGTGGCTCAGGGGGGGTCCGTTCTCCTTTCCTGTGGTGTCTGTGGCTGCGAGTCCCAGAGGGGCACCGTCTTCCTCGTACGGTTCACAGAAGGTGCCCTTTCCCTCGTCGTCACAGTACACGCACTCCTTACGAGAAAAGACACGAGTGATCAGCTACACGCGGAGTTCACTACAGAATGCGGCTCAACCTGCATGAGGCACGGGCCCGGCGTCGCTGCGAGGCTGCTGGAGGAGAAAGGAGGCAGCTGCGCCCCGCCGCTCAGCTGTGGGACCCCTGCCTGTCCTGGGGGGAGCCCACTCCCAGCTCCCCCAAGGCCGAGAGCCTGGGCCCTGATCTGAGAGGTGGCCTGCCTGTGGGACCTGGAGCTAAGCTACGCAGCCTCGGTTTTCTCATCTATCAGATGGGACATCAACAGTGTCCCGAGGGAGGGAGGGACCTAAGGGGAGTGACTCGCCCCCGGTGCCTCTAAGGTTAGGGTTGTGTAGGACGGGACAGAAATGGCAGCGAATCCTCGGCTGGAGGACACTGAGACCGACAAGAGCAGCGTCCAGGGTGTGGGCCTCGGGAGGGGCGGGGAGGGAGGCTGGGGTGCAGACATGTCTGTGGAACTCTCGGGAAGGAACAGACAGATGGGCAGCTGGAGGGGTTCTGGTGTTACGAGCGGAAATTTAATATTCCTACCGTTACTGAACGGTCCACAGGATAGTGAGGGTTTGTGATAGGAGAGGTGTTCTTTTTAAAATAGAAAACAGAAAGAAAGAAATTCAAACTTCAGCACACGACTGAGACTAGATATTTAGAAGAGTCTGGGGGAGCAGTGTTGACAAGCCGTCGGAAGAACGTTCTTTGAGGAAGACTGACCTTTCCTCTTTCTCAACAAACTCCGAGTTTGGAAGGTTTTAAATTCATAGAAGGGTGGCAAGCAGAGTACCGAGCGCCCCCACCCCACCTTTCAATGCGCTATCAGGGGAGCAGCTCGGGGAGCTTACCGCCACGTCGATGGCTGCAGGCAGGCCGCCCGCCCGCACCCACGGGTGCACCTCCTGCAGCTCCTGCGTCTGCTGCGTGGTGAAGCGGGGCTGCAGCTTCCGCAGCTGCTTCAGCTTCTCCCTGTCCGCCTTCAGGACGGCATCTACGCTCCTTCACAGCGTGTTCAGAGAGAGGTAGCATTTAGAATGTCTCCGAGTCTTTGTTTATTTAAAGAACACACTCATTTTCTTTCAATATTAATAATGGAATTTTAGATGCTTTTGTTTAATGCAAATTCCCTTTTCATCTAAAATAAAGTACCCTGCTTAGGGTAACTTACTATCCCTAGTAAAGAATCAGTGGTTTTTCTATTAAAATGAAAATCCCAACTCACAATTTTACTTTTACTTTAAATTACACATGGGAGCTGGGTGTCTGCAGACGCTTGGTTCTGCACAGGGGATTAATCTGGACGGTTCCTACCGGGCAGGCATCTGGTAGGTCATCATGACACTGTCGTCAGCGTCGGCCACCAGCAGCCACACGGGGTCCTGGAGGACATACTTGATGAAGTGCTCGCTCTCTCCCACGTCCGCCCTCGACTTGTGATTATTCTCCGAGGAGTCGATGCTTCCGAAATACTTGCTGGTGTGGCTACTGCCTTTAAAGACACAAAAGTGGTGGCTCAGACCTGGATGCCACGTTCCACCTTGCAACGCGCTTGTGGACGCGTGTCAGGTTAGGGAGCTGAGTCTTATGTGGCGACGAGCCTGTTGGTGGGTTTCCCCTTCTGGTCCCAATTCTCCGATTACCTGGGTAGTTAACATGGGATACCAGCTGGTCCCATGGAGGTGGCTCTCCGGGGAGGCCCGAGCAGCCCAGGTGGAGCCCGTCTTAGAAATCATGCTCCCTTTCCTAGCGCTCAGCACCTCTCCACCAGGCCAGGCCACTGAGAAGCCGGTTTGGCTTCGTAAGCGGGACTCAGGCGCCTGAGTGGGTTCCAGTGCACCCTCCGGAGGAGCGAGGCCAGCGAATGGAGACATGGAAGCTCACTTCAGGGCAGCAGGGGCCTTTGAGTAGTGGGAAGAGTGCATGTCCCGTCATAGCGGGTCCAGATCCACCGGAGTGATCTGGTGGGTGAAGCACACAATCTATATGCTAGGCTCACCTAGGGGAACCAACTCAGGAAGGTGAACCCTGACCAGCCCTCCTGGCACGCCCAGGGAGCCCGAGAGATAGTCCAACAAGGGCCAGCACGGTGTGAGGCCTGCTGTGACCCTGACATAGAAGCGAGCAGGTAAGACTGTGACTTCTGACTGGGTGGGGCCCGCCACCTGGGGGCAGAGCACCTGCCTGTCTGTCTGAGCTGCTTGGGCTCTGAGCACCAGCTGGACACGTCGGGCCTGGTGCACCTGGTGCTGGGCCCTGTGCACACGTGGCCTGTGGCTCTGGTGCAGAGGGTCCCGGTAGTGCAGGAGAAGTGAAGGCTGCCCAGGTGCCTCACATGAGAATCTTCCAAAATCACCAGAAACCCAGCAGATGAAACATGCCCACTCCCCCAGACTCAGGGGCTCCCAATGCCACCAGCATACCTGTCCCACTTCTGGATGCATCGAAACCCAGTGAGCTGGAGCCCAGGGAGTCGGAGGTGGCTGAGGCCCTGCTCCCCGACATGGTCGACCCTGCGGCTGAGCAGAGATCCTCGCGCAGTAAGAGATCGAGCAGGTCGCTGGACGTGGACAGGGCGTCGCTGTTCTGGGCGTTTGGGGGCTCATCCTGCTTTAGGAACAGGAGACACCAGGCAGGACATGGTCAGGACACAGCTCCCAGAGGCAGGGAGAGGGGGTGGGGCTGTAGAGCGACTGCCTGAACAAAGTCGCTCAGGGACACAGCAGAGCACGCTCCTCCTCAGGCCCTGCCTTCAGGTGCCACATGGGCAGGCCCTTGAGTGTTGGGCCTGCAGCGAGGGTCCCAGTGGTCCATGAGTGCATCCCATTCAAGGGGACTCGGGGGCCACACGAAGACGGCCGTCTCGGACCCCTGGGGGAAAGCCTTGTGCCCGCCCCTCCCCTGAAGCGGACACGGAGCAGCAAGAGGCCACCACGGCCCCACACTGCCCCTTGGTGGGGGCTCTGGCTTCCCGCTCCTGTGCCCCGGAGTGGGGTGACCCTGGGAGCACCCCGACCCTCTGACTGTTGGCCAGACCCCAGGAAAAGGAGCCGGAGGGCGGCAGACACTGGGAGGCTAGTCTGTGCCTCTGGAGTGCCCCCCTCTCCCGGGAGCACGCCCGCCCGCCACGCAGCGCCTACCGCGGCACGGCCACAGCGCAGGCCCCTGCACACCGAGCTGTCGGGACACGAAGTCCTCGGGAAACGGGAATTTCATTAACGGAGTAAGAGCATCACGTCCACGGCCCTGAGGTGCAGGAGGACGGGCCTGGCTCACAGTGAGAACCTCTGCCCCCACCGCCCTCCCAGCGGCGAGTTCTGGCATTTAACCGGCTGCGCTGTGTCCTCGCAGTTGTCACTTACAATCTCAAGGCCCATGACAAGTCAGGGAGTCACCTGGGCTGTAAGGACCCTGCACTCACCATCAGACAATCAATCTTCCTTTGTTCAGATCCCAAGACAATAAAAAGCCCCCCGTCTACTCTGATCAGGTCATTGAACCAGAATACGTTCATTTCCAGCACATGTATTGATGTCAAAATTGAAATACGTGGTGGAGCCCTCGGGCACAGCCACGTCTGAGAGGAGGACCTACCATGGGTGTTGCAGGGCCACCTGCGGTAGAGAAAGAGCAGCCAGGAGTCCTTGTGCTCAGCAGTGCCTTCGATGGCCAGTCCCAGGACGTGCCAGGCTTACAGTCCGGCCCCGTGCCTGCTGTCCCCACTGTCCCTGCGGCCGTGGTGCTGCCCTCAGGGGCCTCCTCCAGCTGGAGCAGGTTGAGCTGCAGGGGTGAGCTGCCACGGGACTGGAAAAGTGGCGGGGAGGCCCGGCCTGACAGCCCGGTGGCCGACAGTGGAGTAGCTGGGGTGGCCACATGTGACACTGGTGGCCCACGCTCTGCCCGAGGACAAGCGCACGGCTGTTTGGGGGGTGAGGTCCGACCAGGGAACTCGGGCTGCGAGGCAGGGATCATTTGGCCAGGATAGAAGGCTGGGGGCAGGTTTGGGGTCACTGGGGGGAAGGGATAGGTAGGTAACACCAAGGCCATGACCGGGGCAAGGGGGGCAGTGAATGGCGGGGGCTGGACAGCAAACTCAGGCTGGATGTCCATGGGCACAGCGGGCACCGGGAAGCTGGCGTGGGGCTCCATCGGTGCTGCCGCCACGGCTCCTGGTACTGGCATGATGCCTGGGGCTGGGAGCACTGGCAGGGAGTACGTGGGCACGGGGGTGGGGAAGGGCACTGCGGGGCAGCTGGACTGGGACGTGTCCGAGGGTGACCAGGCGGTGGTGTTCAGGCCCATCAGCAGGGGCCGGTGAGGCACGGGCCCCCCAGACCCAGTGCTCTCAGAGGAGTCCTGAGGCTTGGCCCGTTTGGACTTCAGTTTTCTGTTCTTCCCAGTTTTTTTCCAAGAGGAATCGACTCCAGAAGTGGTTCTCAGGGCAGGAGCAACTGCAATAATGGAAAACAACCGAGCTGAACGTGTGAAAGCTGATGTGAGTCCTGCTGAGCCAGTTCTGAGACCTGCAGAATCTCAGGAACTTGAAGGCGCCTCCTAGTTCAACAGTCCCATGTCCCCAGATGTCGGCCTGGGGACCGTCACGAACACCATATGGCTGCCCTGATCCTCACGCAGTGAGAAAAATCAGGGCAAAATGTTAAGTTTTTATAAAACTAGATTCAATCAACTTGAAGGACCATTCTTAACTGCAAGATCACATTTCTTGTTTTCTTCTGGTATTAAAGTGTCCTTTCTTTTATGAAATAATGGTAGTGCCAAGTGGTATAAAAGTCCTATCTGTCCAAAATAAATAAATAAATAAATAAATGAGCTGGCAATTCTGTGCTGTTCCCCAATATTGGTTTGTGAAATCTGATGTCATCTCAGCTGATTTTTGAATTTTACCAGCTTTACCACTACTGGTCCTTAAACAGAGAAGCTTCCTGTTTCGCCTGTGATCCTACCTGAGAGCAAGTCAAAGGGCGGAGAGGACCACCTGCCCTCAGAGCCAGGTTCTTCCTTTCTGATGACAAGGGGCTGAGGTGAACTTCTTTAGGAGGCTGGAGGGACTCTAGGCTTGTCCCCATGCCTCCCCAGCCATGGCCAGCACTAGGAGTACTAAAGGCTAGCGGGGGCGGATCGTGCCAAGCCTGTCTGGGATGGGCAATGGCATGGGTCCCAGGAACCCATCTCACGGCAGGTAGGGTGACTCAGGGCTCCTGCAGCAGGTGTGTGGGGATACCTGTCAGCTGTGCCAAGGGGGTTCCACACCTTTGCTATATGTTGGAGGCAAGAGGGCCAGCCAGAGGCAAATCGCTAAGAGGGTAGAGGTCTTGTGATTCAGACTCTCTGGTGTGTTCACCCTGTAGGAAGTCTGTCCCCTAGGGGGACTAGTGGCTGTAGCACTGGGTCCTAGGATGCGACGCAAGGTCTGGGCAGACCGCTGTGCACAGCTGTGCAGCCCATGCACCAGGCAAACTGCCAGGCCAAGGGGGCAAGGAGCTACAACCCCGTGCCAAGCCAGGTTCACTGGGTGGGTCTGCCCAGGAGTAGGGAGGACACCTTCGGTAATTTCCAGAGGTCCCCTAGGGCCTGGCAGTGACCCTGGGTCTGGGGAAGGAGAAAAGGAAAGCGTGGGAAAGACCATCTTTATGGAGGGTGTCGCCTCTCTCACTTCGAAGACACTTCACTGTGCCTGCCCGAGACCCTGGGGAGCTGGGTCCTGTGTTGCATGTCTCCCGGGCTTGCTAGCTCTTACGCTGGGAGCCCAGGGCTAAGGTGGAAACTCTGACCATCCCAGCCCATCGTGGGGCCTGGGAAGGTGGCTGGGAGTCGGGAGCCAGGCGCCTGGACCAGGGAAGGGGCAAAGAAGCTTGTCTACTCTCCGTCACCCCTTGCCCCTCGACCACCTGGTGGTAATCGGCTAAAGGACAGCTTCATACACCCACAGGCTCCGTCTGGCTTTGGAGGCTGCAGCCCAGCCCTGGGTCAGCCTGGCCAGGAGGGTATGTCTCCTTCCTCAGGAGCCGACACCAAGTACCCCATCAGCTCCGTGCCCGTTCTTTTTGGGGTGAGCTAGCTGTGGCCTGCCGGGCTTTCCGAGGGCCCCATCTGGGAGGGCAAGTGGGGTGGGGTCCCCTGCCCCTCACAGTCACCCAGAGAAGCGTCCGAGGCGGCGGCATTGCAACTGCCCCACCCTGCACCCCGCAGGGTCCAACTGGGACTGTCACCGCTATTTAAAGCACCATTCCCTTGGGAACACGAGATGACATCCTTGAGAAAGGTCCGTCACCCGTGAAGTCCCAGCAGCACCTCGCAAACCCAGGGACAGCTGACACTCTGAAAGCCGCACTGGACTCAGGGCTATTAAGAATAAAGTTCCTGAGTCCACATTTAATTCGGTCTCAGCACGTACCTCTTTCACTCAGTGGCCCCCTGGGTCGTTCCTGTACGTAATGACGGCAGCGAGACTGGAGGACACTGAGCCTCCTTGTGTCCTTGAACCTGAGCAGGAAGCTCTGCTCCTCCTGCTGGGTGTGGGCGGCCAGCACCTCCTTGGTGAGGCCCAGCCTCCTCAAGGGCTCCTTCTCCTGGCCAAGGCCACAGTCCAGGGACTCGGGCCCACTCGCGGGGTCATCCACTGTCTCTGTAAGAGAAGATGCAGACGTCTCATCAGCAAGGGCCTGTGTGTTTTAAAACAACTGAGAAACCCCACACTGAGAGCACTGCCACTACTGCGCGAGGCCCCGACGTGGGGTGAAGTCCACGACTCTCCGGGCAGCCTTCCGAGAAAGTCCACAGTAAAAGGCAAACAGCAGATAGAGGACCCCCCGGGCTCCGGTTCAGTCTGCTTAGGCTGGAGTCTGGGTACCTCAGGGACCATGGCATGACCGCTGGGATCATGTGGGTCTGGGGGCACAGACAGGACAGAGGCGGGTGGAGGCAATGCCCGTCCTGGGGGGCCGGACACCGACTCCGTGTCCTTTCCCCCTCTTCCAGGCCGAGCACACGCAGGACTTCACTCAGGGGTCTGGAGAACACGGAGAGGCCGCCCCTGCCTGCACTGCCGTTCACACCGGTACCGGCTCCTTCCTGCCCGCAGGCAGGGAAGCGGGGGGCCCTGAAGGAAGGGCGAGGCCGGGCAGGGGGAGCGGAAGGACAACCCAAGGCTGGGTTTCTTGGCCCAACGGGGGGGAGGTGCCTGGGGTCCCTGCGCCCAGGCTCAGCACCCCCGCCCGGGCACCACAGCCCTGTCTGCATTTACTCCTGAGCAGACGGCTGCCAGCAGGCGGCGCCGGAGCGCAGGGGGTCAGGACGCAGGCCCCGCCCCACGCTGCCGCCTTGTGTCTGCATCCCTGGACCCCTTTAGTGGCCGTGGTACATCCTTCTGCACTCGCATGAACTTAGAGGAAAATTTAAGATGGTAATCAAAACTTCCGACTTGTTTTTTGCCAATCAGGTTGCTCTCAGCACCCCCGGCCCACGGGCCTACCCAGCTCCGGCTGCGGCTTCTTGTCGCCCACGTGCACGATGGTGCTGCTGTAGCTGCACTGGCTGGGGAGGGACACCACGCTCTCCGCCTTGCCCGGCAGCCGCAGCGGAGTCAAGCGCGCGCTGACGTCCGCACGTGTGTTCACTCCGGGGGGCACCACGGCCTCTTTAGAAGAGAAAATGGAAGGAGACACATATGCAATAAAAACGAACTGTCTGGATAAGAAACACCACTGTCCAGTGGTCCGAGACCCAAGTGGCACATCCCGCACGTGACGCGTTATCCTCAGGGGCTTATTCACCGGGAAGGTGGAGAAGAGGAAGTTCTGCAATGGGGCGATTGGACCCGTGCATCCCGGGTTGTCTGGAGAGGCAGGCGGCTGGCAGCTCAGGGGGCTTGGGTCAGGGCTCCTGCTGGGAGCCCGGCCCTCCAAGGCCGGTGGGGAGGGGCGGCCCAGGCAGGGCACAGACTGTCCATCACAGCGTGGCCATCCACCCGCACCTGCTTCTATCACCCGGAACACTGACTTCCGATCCAGGTATGACCACCAGGGACATGCACCACGTTTGAGAGGCCTAACACTTAGTCTGACCTGAGTTAATATTCGGACACCATGGGAGGGGCCTGCCTGAGAATGACAACCTGAGAGGCCCCCGGGCCCCCAGCAGAGTCCAGTCACCTTTCCCTCTAGCTTGTAAGAAGGTTGCTAACATTTATATACTTCGGTCATTTTAAAAAGAGCTGACACCCATGGACAGTGTCCCAAAACCGCTCAGAATTCCCATGGGAGAGGAGAAGGGGGCCCCAGGCCCTCCAATGATGCCTGATCTCATGTGGGGAGAAGAAATCTATGGAAGTTACTACACATTTAACAGTCCAAACACATACCTGCAGGAGGCGGCCTGGGGGTGCCTGTGGCCTTCCGCTTGTCACTGGCCTTCTGTGTGGAGGCGTGGACAGGGAATTCACACTTCCTCTTCAGGGTGGTCGCCTCACCGCAGCTCTCCAGGTACCTGTGAGGAGGATCACACACGGCGTCACGTAAAGAGGCCTGAGTCCGGAGGGCTGGTGACTGCCCAGGGGAGGCACCGCCGAGGGGGAGCTGGGAGGTGCCCGCACCTGATGACGCCGTCCAGGCAGCTGATCTGCTGGTAGGAGCCAGCCGGAGGGTTCCTGCAGGCCAGCTCCTCTGGGAAGGCGGCCAAGGGCGGGCTGGCGCCCGAGCTGTCCTCTGAGGCCTGGGCGGCTGTCAGGTGAGCACGGGAACTACTTTGCGTTTCTGAAAGATGACAAAACTGCTTTCAGTTAACATTTGTTTCCCCAAGGAGCACACTCTGTATATTTCTACCTAAGGATAAGGCAGGGGGCTCAGAACATGGGTCACAGGCACGGAAGCCCAGAGACAGCTGACACTAAGGCAGCCCTCATAGGGCTGGGCCACTGTGCTGAGGGTGGAGCCTGGAGGATGCTGCTGACCAGCTCAGGGCTCAGTGGCACTCGGTCTGGGCTGTCCCCAGGGTCAGGGACTCAGCAGTGGAAGAGGCCAGTTCTTACTTGAACTCCTGAAACTTTGAGGCCAATAAGATCCCAGGTGTTTTCCAGTCCATCAGTATTCCCCACCTCCCGGAGGGTCCCTTCCTTTCAAATGTGGCCCAGCAGCCTCAGAGCAGCTTACTTCTGCTCCTGCCCTCACCACATGCACTGCACACAGTTCCCCTAGTGGCCTCGAGGGCAGAGCTGTGTCCCCTACACCCAGCACAGACAGAAGTGCACGCCTATGTATCCCCAAGGCCAGGAGTCTCTGCTAGAGGTGAGCTCTGGCCCCAAGGTTCCCTACGGGAGGCTCCCTGGAAGAGGCGTGCCCTGAGCACAAAGCACAAGAGAGCCCACCAGGGCAGATGCCTGGGGAGCGTGTGTGTGCAAGCGCGAGGGTGTGAAGCTGTGACACGGAAAGGCAGAGTCAGGCTGCGGGGCAGGGCTGACAGTCCCTGTGCTGCTGGGCCCCACGTGAGAAGGTGGCCGGGAGCTCCGCCTGCACGTCCCACTTCAGACAGGTTGGATGTGTCTGCAGACAGCTGGGCGGCGCCCCTGGAGTGAGCGTGTGCGCATGCTCCCGGGAGTGCAAGCACATGGCCCTGGCCACGTGGAGGAGTGAGGGCCACTTGGAGGAGCGCGGGCCTGCAGGGCGCAGGGGCAGGCACTGCAGCTCAGGGCTGAGCGCTGAAGGAGCAAAGGCCCTGCTGCCCGCTGGACGGGGAGGGGTGTGCACGTGTTGAAAAGGTAACCTCCCCACCCACAGTTCAGGCGAGAGCCAGGTAAACCTTCCCAGGCTAGCTTTACTAAGGAAACGCGAGTAACGTTTTACCTGTAGCAGATTTTCTCTTCTGTTCTCCAGATTCATCGGAATGATGACTTTTGGTTTTGACTTTGTTACCATTTTTAGAAATTTCCTTGAAGAAAAACAAACACGTTATTTTCCCTGGGAGACGGGCAGAACCCCCCAGCCCCGGGAGGGGAGCGGGAACAAGGGGCCAGGAGGCTGAGGGGCAGGGCCTGAGGAAACGGACCCACCACCCCGGAGGAAAGCGGGAGGCACGTCCCATTTCCTTCCCTCTGTCCTACAGTTAAACCCTCCCTTTTGTCTGATTTACCCGCTTTAAATGTTTTTTCATCCAAAGCATTAACCACAGTTTTAGCTGCTCCCACTCTTTTTTTTCTCATTTTTAAAAAACCCTCACCTGAGAACATGTTTTACTGACTTCAGAGAGAGGGAGAGGAGGGAGGGAGAAACAGACCGGCTGCCTCCCGTGTGTACTCCGACTGGGTACGTGCCCCACCGCGAACTGAACCCACGGCACTTTGGTGCACAGGACAAGGCTCAACCGAGTCACGCCGCCAGGGCCAGCTGCTTTAGCTCTAAGGGGTTATGAAGTCAGTCCCGGGACGGGGCGGGAGCAGGGCGCAGCACTGCTGCGAGGGCTCTGTGACTCCCCGCGCACCTCGGACGGGCTCCCGGGCGGGGCAGCGGGCCCTGCGGCTCTCCTGCGGGCGTCCTCGTGGCCGGTGCCGTCGCTGGAGGAGGTCTGGCTCATGAGGTGCTCGCGGGACCCGTTGCTGCCCATGCTCCCGTAGCCGCTGGAACCGCCGTGGGGCACGGGCTGGGGAGAGCAGACAGGGGGCCTCGGTTCAGGGCTGGGCGGGGCACAGCTGGCTGTGGGTTTGTCCTTCCCGAGCCCAGGTCACAGAGAGGTGCACCCAGCCTCGGGGCGCCGGGCGCGGAGGGGCGCTGGGCTGGAGCCCAGGGGCAGGCTGCAGTGGGTTCCCAGCCTCCACCTGCAGCACCAGGGTCCCCGGGTCTGTTCCTGAGAAGACCCACTAAGAGGGACTCCATCCAACCTCCCCCTCTCACACGGGAGGGCTGATCTCGCTCTATTCGGGGTTTTAGAAACTAACTGGATGCACTGCGTTCTCCCCACAGTCTGCTGACAGGAAGCAGAGGCTGCTCAGACATGAGGTCACTGCGCTCTCCCTAGTTTTCCTTGAGAACCACGTCCCCAAAGACAGGGGTGGCGTTCTCAATTCCCTCCCGGGCCAGCGCAGCATCCTGCACTGGAGTGACCTCCGCCTGCACGTGGGAGGCCACACAAGGGACCAGGACTCAGGTCTTGGGGGCTGAGTTAGGGGCAGGGGTCTGGGTGCGTCCTTCAGCTGTTAGCCCTGGGCTGTAGGTCAGAGACAGATACCCCAACAGTGCAAGGCTGGCCGCCCCACACTGGGGAAGCTGCAGTGTGCCCAATGGTCTCGGCCTGGCACAGATTTTGCCCAGACTGCCCCCGCAGTGGAGGAGAGACAGGCACCAGCGTGCAGGGCAGAGTGAGACTCCAGAAGGACGGGACCCAGGGCTCAGGGCAGCAGTCAGGCCGCCTGCAAGGTGGACGCCCACCTGCAGCAGCAGCCGGTGGATCTGCTCCGTGAGCTCCGGGATGCTGGGGTGCAGGGGCTGCTGCTCCTCCACGCACGGCTGAGCGAACACATCCTCGTTCAAAGGGCCCCTGCAAGATGTTCACAGTCTGCTAGTCGGCCGGCTGCACACCCCTGCAGGGCCCTGCTCCTCCTCGCCCCCCCCATGGCTCTGCTTGAACTGGGTCCCTCCCACCTGGGGGCAGGTCCGCACAGGACGGCCAAGTGCCCCGGGCCCCAGGAGAACCCACACTCTGACTCTGTGCCGCCCGATGATGAAGGAGATCTTCCTGCTCCAGGGGTTGATGAAGCTGGACCAGCTGGTGTCCAGCGTGACGTACTCCCCGTTCCGGGCGCGGAACCGAAGGGGCGAATAGTCGAAGGGCTGCCCGCTGGACTGCACGACTAGGAGGGAAAACAGCACTCAGGGGCGAGAGGAACCTTGGAGAAGACAAACCAAGGTGCCTCGAGCCCACAGCTCTGGGGAAACTTGGAGCCACCAAGGCCTGTTCCTCACTGTGGCTCTGTCTCCCGTCCTGCTTTCAATCACGACAAGCTCCTGTTTCCACAGCCTCGCCACGTTTCAGGACGCACCTCTCCGCTGGCATCCGGGCCTTCTCCAAGTGTCTCCCGTGTCTGTGAGGCCTGGGCTTGGACCACTCCCCAGCCTGGCCACTACCTCCCACCACAGCTGAACCTGTGCCCCTCCTCCCACCTGCCGGGGACGCCAACAGTAAGGATGAGATGTCCCTTGGGCCATGGGCCACAACGGAACCCTGGACAGTGCTGGGCTCAGGCAGGAGGCAGGGCCTCGGTCGCTCGCACATCGGGAGCCAGTCTGGCCCGTCTTGGCTGGGTGCTGACCCCAGAGTCGCCCGGCACACGCCAGCTTCATCAAAGCCTTTAGGGTCACCACGCGAAGGGACCTACTCTTTTTGTGGATGGCGAGCATGAGGGGCCGGTCGCTGGGGTGGAGCTGCAGGAGCACTGGGGTCTCGATCAGGTCCTGAGGTAGGTAGCCCAGGAGGGGGACGGCTCTGCAAGGCAAGCGCACACGAGCGTCACCGCTGCCACTGAGCTGGGGGACGTGCTCCACAGGCAGCCTCCACAGGGGGAGGGGCATCTCCACACCGTCCGTCATCCACGGGGAAAGAGACAGGCGGGGAGGCAGGCTCACAGAGAAAGTCTTTCCACCAGTTAGTAAGCCTGCAACATCCCCAGGCTCTGGGACACAAACACAGGGCTGCAAGGTCCCACCCATCACACGCTGAGTCCTTCAGCTCCGTCCTAGCTCCTGGAAGAATCAATCATGGAAATGGTTCTTTATTTCTTCTTTTAGGATCTTTTTCTTTTTTGTTGCCTGGTATGGACATTTTTTAACAAGTTTTGCCTATACCTGGAAACCCTGCCCGCACATCTTTTCCAGCCCAAGAGGTTTTCCTGCTCCTGTTACTTCGGCCACTGTGTCCAGTCCTATTTATTGTGGCTTCCCTGGCTGCCACCAGGACTGCCGGGGACCTGCCCATGGTGCCCACTGGGCTTCTTGTAGGAGCTGCTAGTTTGTTTTCTGAGAAATGTTTTGTGTCAAACTTCCCAGAGTCCTTCTGCCTCTGCTGTGTCCTATCCCCTCTGCCGTGTCCTGTCCCCTCTGCCGTGTCCTGTCCCCTCTGCCGTGTCCTGTCCCCTTTGCCGTGTCCTGTCCCCTCTGCCGTGTCCTGTCCCCTCTGCTGTGTCCTGTCCTCTCTGTGTCCTGTCCCCTCTGTCGTGTCCTGTCCCTCTGCTGTGTCCTGTCCCCTCTGCCGTGTCTTGTCCCCTCTGCATCCTGTCCCCTCTGCAGTGTCCTGTCTGCTCTACTGTCCAGTGCCCACAGCAGGCTGGGCTGCTCTCCCTTCTGCTGCGAGGAAGGACTTTCTCCTCCGAGTCCGAGTGAGGCCACCCCATTCCCTGCGGTGGGAGCTCTCTCGGGCCTTGTGTTTTCCTTCAGCCAGATGTACAGAATGTTCCTGGCATTCCTCCCGGCTCCAGCTGGCCAGGAGGGAGTGCGGAAGGGGGGGAGGGGAAGGAGGGGAGGCGGCCAGCCGTTTAGACTGTGGGCCCATGACGTCACGGGCACCTGCTCGCCAACTCTCCTACACGTGAGTAGACTCCTGGGGGGAGGGGGGTGCAGACAGGAGTCCTTAGATTTTTGGAGGGATAAAAATTATCCCAGGTTCCCTCACAAACGCCGCTCCCAAGCCACACCCTCCGAGATCCTGGCTGCGTGGGGCCGCTGGGGCCCAGGAACCTGGGCCTGGAAGCCTTCTCGCGGCCACTCTGCCACAGGTGGTCAGCTGCAGGCCCTGAGCAGCTGGAGCTGGAGCTGCTGGTCTCTGGGGGCCTGAGGGCAGAACCTTCCCAGGAGGCCCTGTGGTCTGTGCCCAGCGGGGCAGCGGGGAGGACCTGTCCCTGACAGCGTCTGTGGAGGTGGCCTTGGCCTGTCTCAGAAAGCTCAGCGTGCCGGCGCTTCTGAGTCCACTTCCCATGAGTCTTCTGAGCCAACTCCTCCTGACCACTGCCCACAGCTGGGAGCACTTTCCGTCTTCACGCATCTGCGCAGGAGGAGCTGGGGAAGACTCTACGTGGCCCTGCCAGTGCCCGTGACCCCAGAACCCTCTCAGATGTCAGTGCCCCAGCAGCACAGCATCCAGGCTGGGCGGCCCACAAAGAGGCTCTGGGCAGAGGGTGCAGGTGCACTTGTGCTGGGACCCTGCCCATGGGTGTGCACCTGTCTCAGGCGCACGGTCCCTACTTGTACCAGTGCTTATCTGTGACCAATTTTGAAACAAGTTTAAATACAGGCTCAGTTTAAATGCCAGCTTCCCTGATCACCCCACTCACAGTGTTCATGTCCCAGGAGGTTTTTAGGGTAATTCCCTAATATCTCATTGCCCGAATACAAATGCTGCTGTTGATGACCACGCGTAACCCCAGGCTTAGCTTTGCTCAACAGCTTCAGTGTCAAAACCATGGTATTCCCTGGCATCCCTCAGTTATGAAGTGACTGCCAGGACAATGGGGCACTAACGTCCGGCAGGGAAGCCGCGGGCCTGAGGACGCAGCAGCGGCTCTGAGGCCAGTGGGAGCGCGGGGCGAGCAGCAGGGCAGCGCCAGGGGCTTACCTCTCATCCACGTCCTGGAACAAACAGTTGGGGGTGTGTGTGGTCGTAAAAATTCTCTTTTCTGGAGGAATTCTAGGGGCTGAAAGAATAGAATTTTGCTCAGATGTCTGATTCGGAGAAATGCACACGTAACGTAGTTACACGACAGCCACTAGAAAACCATGTGCTGGGAGTGACGGGCCCTGACCGCAGCTCTGGGCCAGTCCCGGTCTGGAGAGCCAGGACCCCGCTCACAGCACCGCGCGTGCAGGCCTCTCAGCACCCCCCTGCCGCAGGGCCCATCAGGGTTCTCACAGCCAACAAGATGAGCTAGACTAATTCTTTTTAAAAATGAGTGAAGCATTTGGACTGAAACTTGTCAGCAAATGTCACTGTATTGGGACTTCACAGTTTCTAAAGTAGACAAAGGTAATTTGCATAAAGGATGTCCTGTCCAGACCTTTCCTCAACTTCCAAATTCATGGATGAAACATTCAAAATTCCAAATGCTTCATTTGCGAAGGAGACTGAGCATCTGGGGGTGTAACCTGCTGAAACCTAAGCAACCCTCGGAATCTTTATGGGGTGTTTGGAAGACAATGTTCTCTATGCAGGAACCCACTGGATATTCGAAAGAGAGCCACACATCTAAAACATTTCTACCACTTAAAAATATGGCTTTTTAAAAAGACACCATTAACCCTCAGAGAAGGTCACAGATACAGTTAAGACGGGCCGGGTCCCTGTGGCTCGGCGTCAGGGTGGCGTCTGCTCCAGAGAGTCCAACATGTGGCTTGTTAAGTTGCCACAGTGAGGACCTAGGGTTCCTGGCCAAGCACTGTGACCAGCATGAGACTGTGCCACAGCCTGTAAGGAGGTGTCGCTAGAAGGATAGGATCAGGATGCTTGCAGAACCCAGACTTGGGTTTTTGGGGCAGTGGTGGCCTGAGGAGCTAGCAGGACCAGGAAAGGGCACCTGGAGAGATAGGCCTGTGGTGGTGACAGGGTTTCTACAGGCAGAGATGGTGGGGGAGGGAACGCCCTGCACTTTATTTCTTAGGAGTGGGGATGGTTTGCGGTTCTGAGCAGGAGCCCAGCACTTCAGAGGACCAGGGCTCAGGCCTGGGTAAACACAACAGTGGGAGGGACTTGGGCCCCGACCTGTCAGGCTGTTCTCTCTGCGTGGAGGGAAGGCAGTGGCCTGGGAAGGGAAAGGGCACCCACGGTCACAGTGACGGCCTGGGCACGGTGGGAGATGTCAGCACACAGACCCTGTCACTGCGTGGGGAGGTGGTGTGGCTGGGCCCAGGAGGGCCAGGGACAAAGGAGGGTGTGCCAAGCCTCAAGGGACATGGAGACTGCCCAGGGCCAGGGGAGGCTGGGCTGGACCAAGGGCGTAACTGAGGGAGGAGGGGAGCCCGGGGCTAGCCTGGGCCTGGCTGTCACCTTCGTAGCCGGAGTGCACCCTCTCCGCCAGCAGCAGGCAGCACAGCTGGCTCCCGGCGCCCTGCCGCTCCGGCACCCTGACCAGGTACGGCGTCATGCGGAACGGGTGGTAGCGGGTCTCGTTCTCGTGGGCCTTCCCGGCGCTGGAGAGGAGGCGTGGTTAGGGGCGCAGTGCCCACCGAAGGAGCCGTCCCTACAGCTGCCCCCCACGGCCGGCCAGCACCTCAGCAATCCCTCCGTTTGCTGTGCAGATGTGGCCCCCGCCAGAGCAGAGCTGGACGGGCGGCCCTTGGCCTGCGGTCTGCGTCCCCTCCCCACCCGAGGAGCTGGGCCCACAGCCCTCAGACTTCTGGTGCCATTACAGGGTTAAGTCGCAGCCACCAGCCCGAGCAGTGAGGGTCCTTTGGAGTCCTCTCTGGAGCAGTCTGCATTTTAGTCGGGAAAAGGGCACCACTCTAACCGTGGATCCAGCCCACCTTCTGAGGGCACCGCTGTCTGCCCAGGGGTCACTCCTGACAGGGCAGCTGGATGCTCAGTTGGTCACCCTGTTTCAGGCTAAAAGCCCCTTGGAAAGCCACAGGGCTCTCCCCGGGAAAATGCACTTTAAAAAAAAGACACTGGAACTGAAGGCTGCACGTACTTTTGGGTCTCCTGTGGACCCCGGGGTACGAGCCTTCCCAGGTCAGGGCCCCTGCCCAGTTTCCAGGTGATGGACACCAGGCTCCTTGGGCTGACGTCCTCCATGAGGACTGGGTTAACCACCCCCTGCCGACCAGGCTGCCTTAACCCCTTGTGCCAGTTAAAACGCAGCTCTGAGCATGTGTTCTCACCCTTCTCAGGAGCCTGTGTGCGTGGCCCCTCGCCCCAAAGACTGGGCGCAGGCAGGCTCCTGCCCTCCCGCCCGGAGCGCGTCAGGGACTGGGGGAGAGGCCCCCCTCCTCCACTTCCCACGAGGTACTGAGGGCGAGATGGCCGGGCCATTTCAAGTTTAGGAAGACCAGTAACTGGGCTTACCTAACACGGCAGAAGAAAGATTTCTCTTCCATGCATTCTTGAGTGAAAGAATCTAAAAGAAAAAGCCCAGAGTCACCCACCCAGTGCAGGAGGAAGTGTCGACAGCGCTCTCCTAGGCCCCGTGTTCTCTGAGACAAGACCGCGCAGAACGAGAGCCCAGGTGGGACGCAACCTGCCCGAGTGCATGGTGAAGCCTGAGAGCTCTTATCCCAGTTCTGACTACAATGAAACATATTTCATGAGTGTGGCACACACCAGGGTTTACAGCCGGGGTCTCACGCCCCCAGATGCGCCTCGGTCCCCCCACACTCTGCAGACTCACATCACACTCCAGCTTCTTGGAACAGCTTCGTTTCTAAGACACGTAACTTGTCTTAAAGCCTGAGATGTGTTTCCCTCTCTGAAATTCCTAAAAAAGACTGTTTTTCTCTCTAAACTTATTCTAAACAACTTCTGCTCTCGTTTGGATAAAGGGTGGCACTACTGGGCTGGTCTTGGCAGAGGTGAGGGGATGTGTCCCCACCTCCTGGGTGGTCCCCGTGGGCCCTCACCTGCCCCACTGCAGACACTCCAGGGCGGGAGCTTGTGTGGTGTGGTGCAGCTGTGGAACACACTCACGTCGTGGGGTGCCAAGAACTCCACGAACTTGGCATCAAGAAAGGTGTCTTCCTTACAGCGGAAGATGGAGACCACTTGGCTGGAGATGTACAGGATTCTCCCGGTGACCAGGGACACAGCCGCGGCGAACATGTCCTGGGAAAAGAACATGCTTGGGTGAGAAGGGGCAGAGGGCACAGAACAGAGGGGCACAGGCTCGGGGCAGGTGATGGGAAGGGAGCGAGGAGGGTTGAGAGGCCTCTGGGACCCTTTCTCAGTCCAAAGAGGACATTATTTGAAGAATCACATTGGGGTTCCACTGCCCAAAGGAACCCAGGAATGCGGATTACGAGGCTGTCACCAGTATTCTTGGGGATGGGGTCTGAATTCTGGGCTGATTTGGGGGGTGGAAGGGCCCTGAACACCTCTCCCTTTGTCACCTGGGCTGGCGCGACCCTCTCCTGGGGTGCTGGGGGCTGCAGGGCTCCGGGACCCTTGAGTTCAGGGCTGGCCAGGAAGTGTTGGAGGAAGAGTGGGAAGGAGCAGGAGCCCAATTCTCCAGGCAGCTCTGCCTGCCCTGCTCCCTGGGACGTCACCGTTTGATTCTTGGTTGGGGCACGTGCCAGGGTTGCGGGCTTGGTCCACAGTAAGGGGCGTGCAGGAGGCAGCCGGTCAATGACTCTCTCATCATTGACGTTTCTCTCCCTCTCCCTTCCTCTCTCTGAAGTGAAAAACATATTTTTAAAAATGCGTGAGGTGTGGAGTCTCGGGAAGCCGAGCTGCAATCCTAGGGCACCCTCACGAAGCCTGAACGGTGAACCAGCTGTCCCCTGGCACGCTCTCCCTCAGGTGAGGGCCAGGCGGCATGGCCAGGAGGGCGCAGCACCCAGGAGGCGTCTGCGACAGGACTGGACTTTTGAGTCACTGACTCTACGCTCTTTTCTCAGGTCTGAACTCACTCCCAATCCTCCAAACCCTGCTGCCATGAGCCACCGGCCAGACGGTCACGGGCTCACGGGAGGCCCCCGTGCCCGAGACACTCACCGTGCTCTTCACAACGACCTCGGAGGTGGCGCTCTGGATCTGCTCGAGGGTGTAGGAGGGCACGCCGGCGCCACAGCTCTGCTGCTCGCTGGACAGGAGCAGCTGGAAATACTCCTCGTTGGCTGCGGAGAGACCGAGGGACAGTTCCTGACTCACTTCCCCCGAGACAAGTGGGCTGGGGACACGAGAGAACAGACCCCAGAAAGGCAGAGGCAACGCCAACAGAACGCTGGGGTCTCCCTGAACTCAGAGGCCTGGGGGACGGAACTTCCCGAACGATACACACGTTGCCTTAAGGGCCACGGCCACGGGGTCCCACCCAGCGCTCGCTTTCCCCACCAGGTTGTGAATCATGATGCAACGGTGCCACTTCCACGCAGGACGGCTGTGGCCCCCCTGCTCTGCCTCCCGTGGTGGCCTTGGCCAGACACCCCGCCCAGACTGCTAAGAACACCGGCAGAGAAGCCACGCGAACAAACTGCTCCGAGCAGACCCTGAAGACAAAGGCCGCTCATCCTACATTGTCTGACACGGCTTTGGGGCGATGCAGCCACGGCCAAGGGGCTAAAGACAAACCAGCACAAAGCCACCTTCCACGCTGGCACTGACTGTCCCACCAGACACCTGGGACAAGCCCTTCCCACGAGTAGTTCAAATGTTAGAAAGTGTGAACATATTTGAAACTTGGCTTTTCATGCCCCAGTGACAGACGTGGCCCTGACTGCAGGCCGAGCCGAGACGGCAGCTGATGCAAGAGCAGAGCACTGCTTCACCTTCATCTCGGCCTCAGGGGTTTCCTAGTCTCACGCACGTTCCTCGTGTGCGGCGTCCGCCGGGGCGCAGGGTGGGAAACGTGTAGGTGAAGGTACAGTGCGTAGGAGGGGGCCCGCACACCCGCCCCGCCCTGATGCCGACTTTCCCCAGCTCAGCGTGTTTGTCACAACAGGCCCAACAGCTAAGAAGCCCCTCCCCGAGCAGAAGCCGGGGGCTCGCTGCAGTGACAAGGGTCCAGAAGGGTCACTGCTGTAGGACCAGGTCTGCACACGTGTACCTGCCCCCAGACTTCTGCTGTCTCTCTGAGGCTCTGAGGACACCTAAGGGCTCTCAGAGGTCCCGTCCCTGCTCCCAGCAGCAGCCGAGAGGCCAGGCCGCAGGGACCTCTTGAACAGCTTCTACAGCTAAACCACCATGAGGTGACCCTGAGCACAGGATCCTGGCCTGCAGACAGGGACACCGCAGAGACCTGAGACCCAGGACAAGGGGCGTCTGCCCCGGGGAGGCCTGGCAGGAGCAAGTGAAGAGAGATCCTTAGAGCTTGGGGTTGACTGAAACGGAAAGTGTCCGAGCCTGATGAGCAAACAGTCTGGAGTCCGCAGTGTTTGCTCACGGGTTCCTGCATCTGTGACGGTTTCTGCAACATGTGCTCAGACAGAAGCCTTTGTCTAGTCCACCAGCTGTACTGAAAGCTGCCACATGCTTCCACCTAATGATAAAATCCAAGCCTGCCCACAGGTGGACAGGAGGCTGGGTTCGGAGGCCCGGTACCATGTACCTGTGATGGAAGGAGGCACTCTGCCTGCCTGGTCCAAAGACCATGGGAGCTCACGTGCCTTTAGATGAACAAGAAATGAAGAGCCCCGGGTCTCAAATGACGACGCTTTAAGAGACTGCCTTTCAAGAACGAGCTCTGTCCATCCCCCACCCCGTGATCACTTCACTTTTTTGTGTGTTTTTTTAAAATATGTCTTTATTGATTTCAGAGAGAGGAAGGGAGAGAGAGAAACATCAATGACGAGAGAGTCACTGATCGGCTGCCTCCTGCACGCCCCCTACTGGGGATCGAGCCCGCAGCCTGGGCATGAGCCTTGACTGGGAATCGAACCCTGACCTCCTGGCTCATGGGTCAATGCTCAACCACGAGCCACGCCAGCAGGGCCTTCACTTTTTCTTTTAAAGGAGGAGCGAGTCCTCAGCTAGACACTGTGGGATGCTTTACTTCATTTCCACTCCGAGCTGTCACATCACCAGGCCGTCAGCAGTCGCTCACCGCGGCCAGAGCCTGAAAGGTGCCGCCCCCTTCTCCATGGCTGACCGAGCCCAGAGCACACAGTTTATGTGGTAAGTAGGCTCCTTTATCAGGCCTTCCACTGCTCCCTGCTTCCCTCTGAAACTCAAGCGCAACTGCCAGCCAGGCGCAGCTCTGCGGCTGAGCACGGACCTAGGATCCAGGAGATCGAGGCTCGATTCCCGGTCAGGACACATGCGGGCTCGATCCCCAGTCGGGGGCGTGCGGGAGGCAGCCGATCCGATCAATGACTCTCATCATTGCTGTTTCTCTCTCTCTCTCCTCTCCCTTTCTCTCTCTGAGATCAATAAAGACATATTTAAAAAAAACAAAAACACTCAAGCGCAATCGACAACTCCCGTGCGGTGGTCAGTTGTGCTGCTCCCCGACTCCCAACTTTCTTTCCTCAGTTTTAAAAGCCAACACAGTCCAAGCTGTCATTTGGGGGAACTTGGAACTTACTCCTACAGGTTGGAGCAAACGCAGGAGCCGACGTACCTTTCACCTGCCTCACGCTGCGCAGGGCGTACTTGAGCGTGGCCAGCGTGCTGGCCTTGCCCTTGGCCTTCCGCTCGGCGGGCAGGTGCACCTTCAGCTCCCTGAGCGTCCTGATCAGCTCCCTGTGAGCGTCGGCTTTGGCGGACTGCTCGCTGCTGCGGAGTGAAAGGAAGACGCACAGGCGTTAGCGTCCCGGGGCCTCTTCTGAAGAGATGGGCGTCTGGTCGGTTCTCAGCCGGGCACCAGGACAGCCGGTCCGCGCAGCGCCCTGTGGTGCCTGCGGGAGGGTCAGCAGCATCCTGGCCTCACCCATGTGGAAAATAATGTAAACGGAGCGGCTTTAAAATGGAGTTGGGGCTGCCACCCCAAGGCACTGCCTTGTGGTCTTACTACTCAAACCTTCCGAATGTCAACACAGGGCAACACCGTGTCCCAAAGAACTGCTGACGAAGGTAACAGGAAAGCAGGTGTTACAGCCACCAGACTGTGTTACCTTCTCTGCACCCACAGGAATGCCTTCCTTCTGTGGATGTCACTGCCCCTTCCCCTCTCAAACACCCCTTGCCTTGGCCTCCTAACTGGAGCACCATTTGGGTTTCTGCCTGAATCAGTACGTCCTGAACAGCTGATCTCTTTTCTCTTGAATAAATGCTTGTTGGCTGTCACTTTGGCCTTTTATTTTTAGGTTAACACCTACTGGAGGCCAGCAACACCCTCACCAGCTGTGACATCCAAAAACAATTCTGGACGCTGCTACGTCTCTTGGGGGAGACGAACCGCCTGTGGTTGAGAACCATGGTTGGGTTCACGACCTGACCAACAGGTTCTAGCAGAGGCTTGAAACAATCACATCATCCCAAACCTAACCTCCAGTGACAAATCTCTGGTTTATCCAAAGACTCTAGGTCAGGGGGCTCTGGCCAGCCTTACCTGCAGCCACTGGTAGATGGGTGGTGCTCGGACTTGGCCAGCATCAGGCTGTAGGCACTTGGACTATAAGAACAAGACAAAGACGGGGCTCAGAGGCTGGGCGGTCCACGCCTCCTTCACAGAGCCTCCCCCATCCGGCCTGCGGCAACAGTAAAAAACACGAGGTTAAGGTAAAACTGACATGAAACCTTCAGAGACCAGGGAAACAGTGCTGGGGGTGAAGACCCCGTGCTAAAGGGCAGGTGCCTTTCCTACGGAGCAGGCGGTGCGGGCGGGTGAGCTGACGCCTCGCCGTCCGAGATCTCGGCACAGCACCTATCTACTGGCGAGCGGATCTTCAGGCTGACGGTGGCATCATTATAGGAAGGACAGATCCTAGTAAGTTTTAGTCATTCTACGTTAACTATCTTTTTAAAAATCTGGAAAAAAATGATCATCGTGATATAAAGATGGCAAAACAGGAATGAGGCCCTGAGCAAACACACAAGGCCCAGCTGCCCCACCTCTCCCGGGGGCCGGGCGGCTCCACCAGCATCCCCAGCTCCTTGCCGCAGTCGTCGCAGTCGCTGCCCTGCGAGTCCCGCCCCGTGGAGCAGTTCTCGTTGGTCTCATTTCCACTGGAGCCACTGCTCATGTCAACGTCCTCCTGGGGCGGGACACCCCTGGGCGTGGGCTCCATGGGCTCCTTGGTGGGGCTACTGGGGTTGGGGGCAAATCCAGTGAATTCATTCATGTTGGCTCCTGAAGGAAGCTGGCAAACGAGAGAGTTGTCGTCAGTCAGCGCTGGTGGTGGCGACTACGGACGCGATGCTAAGGGCCTGACACTCCGTCTCCAGCCAGCCTCATGGTCAGTGCCCGTCACACACACGGGACACCCTCTCTGTCCCTGCCCGGAGAGGTGGTGTCGCTCCCGAGGCCGCGCAGCAGGTGGCAGTACTGGGTTCCGGCCCGCGCGTCCCTGGAGACGGGGACCCAGGGAGAACCCAACCGTGTCACTCTACGGAGAACAGCAGGTCCGCTTAGACCTTGCCCCGCTCACGGAGGGACAGACAGGAGCCAACACAAAGACACGGTGCACACGAGCTGCAAGGCCTGGGTAACGCAGCGTCAGGACGACACTGCACTGACCCTGAGTACAAGCCGAGCAGAGACGGACTCAGACGAGCAGGCAAGGAAGGATGAGCTCAGCCAGGCTGAGCAGAAAAGTAGGAAGGTCGAGTTCAGGGTCAGGAATGAGGAGCAGGCCCGGCCGGGCGTGGCTCAGCGGCTGAGAGCCAACCTGGGATCCAGGCGATCAGGGTTCGATTCCCGGTCAGGGCACATGCCTGGTTGAGGCTCGATCAATGACTCTCTCATCACTGATGTTTCTCTCTCTCACCCTCTCCCTTCCTCTCTCTGAAAT